CGACCATTAATACCACAATTAAGCCACACAACCAATACCTCAATGTAAGCACCAAAAAAGCCAACAATAAAAATATAGCCCAACAAGCAATCAATATAAGCCTTTATTTTGCTAGTTATAAACTGATATTTTCCTTTCCTCAAAACATCAACAAAATTAAGAATGTACATCCCTCGTCCCAATCATTCATACTACCCCCCGTCACGCTAAATGCGCTGATGGCCCTAGAACAAATAAACTTAATTTTATAGATAAGTTTTTTTTTAATCATTTGACATTCATCATTGCTATACTAAAATGCATATGTTTATTGCGCTTTCTTCGACAGCGGTATATACAAAGTAATTAAAATTAACTATTGCTCCCAAGATTATGGGACAATGAAACAACACAAAGTAATTAAAATACACTACATTAAAAACTCTTACAGCGTTGATCCACATTAAAGGTGATTTTATTACTCAAAATATATTCAACCTGATCCAAGCTTTCATTTTAACTTAATGCATGCAACTTCTTTCCTTGCGATGAATTTTTTCTTGCCCAAATTTCGCACCTCTTATGATAGCCATTTTTGCAGCAGTTTAAGAAGAAAGATCATATACTGCCTCAAATTTACACAAGCAGTTCCTTGCCTTAGTTATGAAGACAAAAGCCACAAAGAAGACGTTTAGTTAAAACTTCAAAATTGGACTAACAACACTCATCTTAAACCAAGCCCAATTTAAATGAGCAACTTATAGGCAATTATACTATATCCCAATATATTTACAGATTTCAACAAATTACTGCATCCCACAGTCAATAGATTTTAAAGCGGAAACAATCCAATTATAAACATTACACTCATAAACTTCGATGAGAAAATAGAAGTGCCTTATAAAAACATAACTTTCTGTGAAACATAACCATTTTGAATTAATATTATTGAACCATCTATACTACTATAATAAGTTTGTTTATCTACAGTATGAATACTCACAGTGATGAACAACTTATGCAAGCTTCGGAAGAAACAATTTATTTGATGTTGTATATTTCAAAGCTCTACGAACTTTCACAGGTAATACACAATCTATCAATTTATGGAAATTATAAAGTTATTGTTGCTGACTACATGATACAAACAAGTTCTGTCAATTTATACAAGCTACATGATAAAACCAATTCTTTCAAACTTATTGTATGATTAAGGCATCATAAGTCTACATAAATAGCACCTCACCCACATCTACTAAAATTTAGAACTAAACAAGCTCGAATTCATCACAAAAATCTCATGAGGACTACTACGGGCTCAGCGATAAATAGATTGCGTCATAAATAGAATTGGCCTTCTCTATAAAACTATGATGCAATGTAGCGCTGCTATTATTGAGGATTACATCACCCAAACATATGTAATATCTATAAGGTTGCAATTCCACACAGAATTGCCTCGCCTAAACATTACATAATTTGAATTAAAATAGATGCATTCTTCAGTTTGTTTCATCACACTGCCCATTTCTAAAAAAACACTATATCACAAAGGAACACAATACAGAATGAGTACCAAAGAAAGCCATCTGATATTAAATTCAAACTGATCCATTTATATACCACAATAATTCGCAAAACAATTACCTCAATGTAAGCACAAAAAGCAACAATAAAATTCCGCAAACAAGAATCATAAAGCAAAAAACCGAAATCTAACGAAAGGGAACATCATGCAGAAGAATTATACCTGTAATTATTCATCAATAAGCAAAAAACCTGTAATTATACCTGTAATATACTGTAATTAGCAACAAGAATCAATAAAGCAAAAACCTGTAATTATACCTGTAATTATTCATCAACTAATCAACGAAAGCGCGGAACATCATGCCAGAGAATTATACCTGTAATTTCGAATACTAACAACAATCAAGCAAAACCGTCCGATTTCCCTAAGAAAGGCAGGGATTTTCGCCAGCCGCACAAAAAATAAAACGAATTCGCAGGGGAGAGTCGACGAATAATTCCAGGGAGGAGTATAGATGACGGATTCGCCAGAAAGCTTCGCGATGAAATTCAAGGGAGAAGTCACGACGCGAAATTCGGCGGCGACGTACGAAGCCTACGACGCCACAAAGATTTCGAAGGATTGCAGCTTTGAGGTAGGAGATGTGTAGCACCAGCTTCGAGGGGAACAAGACATACCCGAAGGCTCTACGAATCCACTTTGGAGTCACGAATCTAAGGACGATGAGAAAGAGAGCAGAGAGGAGCTCATCTTCTTGGCAGTTAGATTGGACAGTGGGGGGGGGGGGGAGCGGAGAGCCAGAGACGAACCCGATAATCTGCGAGGACGACGGTGAAGGGGAGCAGGAGGAGCAAACAGAGCGAGCGATCAGTCGCGATCAGATCTGGCTGGAGAGCGCTGATTAGAACGAAGGCAAGAAAAAGTGAAACACCTAGATCTAGAATCCTTTTCTCTTTAGCTATTTATATGGAATAGGCCTTGTATAATAAAATTTTAGAAGAAGTAATATTTACAATAAATTAAATTAAATAGGACTAAAATGCAAAAAACTAACTCGAATAGTTTAAGGACTTCGAAAGAAACCATACATTTTGTTAAATTCATATTCATTTATAAGCGGAATACTAATAATTATTTTGTTTAGCTACTAAATGAACTACCGAACCGAACTTTGAATCGAATATCTAGACGAATAATAACCGTCATAAGACTATTTATATATGGGGAAGAAGCTGTAAAAATAATTTTTGGATGGTAATATTTGCCAACAAGTTTAATTTATACGATTAACATAAAAGGTTATCGAATAGTTAATAATCAACCTGATCGAATATAACTTTAGTTAAATTCTAGTTTGTTTGAAGTTGAATTACTGAAATAAATCATTTAGTATTAAGATGAACAGTTCGGATTCGAATATGACCGAATATCTGGACGGAGATTAAGCGAATTGCTTTATTAAATATCTTGGTTTGTTTCCACCCCTAACCATCATATACTGCTTTGAATTATTCCTTCAACGCAAGCCTCAAATTAATCTGAATAATCATCAATGCAGACGAATGTATAAGCGTCAAATCACAAAACTTTTGGTAACATAAATTTTTAAATTTTAAGAGTATAATAATCAAATCAAATGTATTTAAAACTTTAGAGAGACGCAAATTTAAAATACAATGATAAAAAATAAACGGCCCGTGCCTTGCACAGGGCGCTCCATACTAGTGATTGATTTATGAGTTAAATATTAGGTGGGAGAAATTTTAAAACCATCCGGCGTTTTGGAAAATTATTCCCCAAAAAAAGAACATTTTCAACCTTAATTATAAAAACAGACCTAGTTGGATGAAACTGAGTCTCTATTTTTTGAAAAAAAAATTCAAACTTCACGGGAGTTGAACTCCCGTGTGAAGTTTTTTTCCATAACAAAACTTCACGCGAGTTCAACCTTTCCAAGCTCCCTTGAAAGTTTGAATTTTTTTTTCAAAAACCGACCCAGTTTTAACCAACAGAGTCCGGTTTTTAAAATTAAAGTTGAAATAAGTCGTTTTTTATAAATAAATTTTAAAAGACGGATGGTTTTGAAAATTTGTCCAAATATTAGGAGCATCAGTAGAGGATCCGCAACCGTTCTGAGGGGATCCGTCACTCGGAACCATATTTGCTAGTATCCACTCCCAATATAGTAATTTTGGGAGTGAGATTGCCGAAAATGCCCTTGAGTGTTGGAGAATGTTTCCTGGAATGGACTTGGCCCTGTTTTCATTTGAGAGAAGGGCACTTTAGTCCTCACACACCCCAAGTTACTGTTGGGGTGTCTATAGTTGGACCCACTCGGAACGCGACGAAGCAGCCCGTGAAGTGCAACGTGGCAGCAAGTCATTGGAGGAATGCGGAGAAGCCAAACTCGAATCCACATCTCCCTCTCCTGACTCCTCTCACCACCGCAAAAATAGACTGAATACCACCACTGGGTCACGAGAAATTTTCGACGGAGCTCAAAAATAAAATAAAAAAAATAAAAATAAAAAAGAGAGAGAAGAAAATGGGAGGAGGAGGTCATCTCTACGCGCTGGATTTCGATGGAGTCATCTGCGACAGCTGCGGCGAGAGCTCTCTCTCCGCTCTCAAAGTACGTAATTTCTTGATTAGTAAATATCCAGGTGTTAATTTTCTCTAATTATCTCAAATTTTAATTTTGCCTTTTTTTTAGGCAGCGAAAATTCGATGGCCTCAACTGTTCGAGCAAGTTGATCCAAGGATGGAGGACTGGATCATCGGTCAAATGCACACTGTAATTAATTGCTCCTTCAAATCCCCTTTCTCCCCATTGATTGATTGTTTATCTGGTAAATTAAATAAGAATCTTGTTCTAATGATTTAGAAGCAATTAGAGTATGCGACTTGTGTAAATATGAGACGTAGATAGGGAGTCATAAAAATAATCATAGCCTTCATTGCAGCTCTATAATTTTTAGAATTGGGTTATCAAGATTCTTTAAGATGGTACAAGTTTTATTTGGTTGATATAGTGTTTGTTAAAGATAATCAAATGATAAATATGACAGAAGGATAGTTGAGTAATTTTTTGGGGACAACCTGTTGGGTTCGATTAATCCAACGAACCCAAGTGGCCCAACCTACTCGATTTTGGATTTGATTTAAAGTTGCCATCGATTCAAGTTAGGATCAGGATACTAACCACATGGTCTGATTAGACAGTTTCATGCTTATCAAGTTGGGTGGTTATCTTGAATATCTAAAGGATAGGATCAACCGGAGTGTAATCCCACGGTTGTGATTAAACCATGATGGGTAGGGTTAATCATAAATATCTATTTAAAGGGTGGGAGTCCCTCTTCTCAACCGTATGCAGAAAAGAGACCTAATTCCCATCATTGGCTACGGGAAGAGAGAGGAGAAGACTTCCATTATTTTCGTCGGTGAACGGTAATTAATTTATATTTCTAGTTCAATTATTCATGTCTAGATCGTTAAATTATCCAACAGTGGTATCAGAGCCTGTTTGTGCATGAATTTTTTTGATCTAGAATTAAAGTTTTTATTTTCGGATTTATTTAAAAAAAAAGAGGATCTACGGTTGCATCCAGTGCTTATGTTTGCATCTGCGTTTTTGTTTGCCGTCAAACGCTGGAAATAGATCAACGTTAAAAAAAAAGGGATTCAGCGTGTTTTCTTACGATTGATTACTTGTTTAATTCAATCTTATCTCCGAAGAACTCACGGCCACAGCAAAGTTAAATAAAAAAAATAAGGGCCATCTTTGAGTTCACTTTTTTTTTTAATGCCGCATCAACCATGGCTGCTCCTCGCCATGCCACGCCCTCTATGCACGCGCTCTCTCTCTCTCTGCGGATTCGGTGCTCAGCGGTGAGCGGCGGCCAGTGGCGGGGTTGCGGCAGGTGGCGGGGTTGCGGCCGACGGCGGAGGGTCGGTTCTGTGGGAGATTGGGTGCTGGCGGCGGCTCTTGGGTTGGGTGGGTTTATGGTTAGGGTTTAATTAAGGTTATAATTAATTAATTAATTCAGACCCAACCCATTATGAAATGGGTCAGACCCATTAATTTTCAGACCCGACCCATTACAATTTTGACCATTCATTTTGTTTTGGTCACTACAGGTCCGTTTTAAGTCCGATTTCAGCCCATAAATAGTCGTTGGAAAGATCATTTTGTGTTCTTTTCAACTATACAGTTTTTATTTTAATTTTATAAAGTTTTAATACAGAAATTTGGACAATTCATAAAGATTTTTGTATGCACATAAAGATAATTGATTTACTCTGATTATATCCTTAATTCAGGTGGGGGTAAATATTTGGGTTCATGATAAAACGGACTACAGTATTAGATCAACCTATGGGGTTAAGGAAGATCAGTAAAACAGTCACTTAGAAATTATGGTAGAGTAGGTTAGTGTCTTGCCCAAAGGTGACCAACCTATAATACCCTAATTTTCTAAGGTTGAGTTTACTCTCATTTGGACTGGAAGGTTGCACTTATCTGTGGGTGGACTACTAGTCTTGCCCAAAGGTGTCTGGGAAATCCTCTACATGATAAGTGGTGCAGGATAGTTGAAACATGTCAGTGAGAGGAGAATAACCCTATTGCCCAAAGGTTAGGAAGTGTTCAAATCAAACTGACACTGTGTAGGCTAGTTCTGTAGGTGATTATATATCACATTTGGAGGGCGAATAGCATGTCAAATCACTTGCCCAAAGGTGTGATGAGATGATGCACCCGCCTGTCCCACAGAGTGGAAGGTTGCATACGTAAAACACTCTGACCCATCCATTCTAACCCTAAATTGGATGTGGAAATATTAAAGTTAATTAAATTAAAGGTCTCATTTGATTTATATGTCCATGGTTTAATACAGATGGACGGACAGTTTATCCAAAAGCGGAATGAGGAATCCGTTAGAGCGAGACAGTACAGTACAGTTTGTAGGGATTTAGTTCATGTTTGTTGTGAAACAAATTTAGTTGATGTTCCTTCAAATTCTTGGTGGATTGATTCTGGTGCCTCTGTGCACATTTCAACTTCATCACATGGAATAATCCACAGTCGGAAGGCAAGGGCAAATGAGCAGCTATTTTTGGGAAACTCACAGCCTATGAAGGTGGAGCTCGTTGGGACTTTCAGTCTGCGCTTGGATTCTGGAGTTTCCTTAGTATTATCAGACACTTTCTACGTACCTTCTATGAGAAGGAATCTTATTTCAGTTTCTAGACTTTCTGGATCTGGTTATAGCTTTGTTTTCGAGAATAATTCTGTCTCTATCAGAAATGGTTTGGATGTCATCGGACATGGTTTCTTGATTGACGGTCTTTATAGATTAAATCTGGATGCATCTTTTCCTTCTCCTCTATGTATGTCTGTGAATTCATCTTCTTCTGGTACAAAGCGTCCTAGGCTTAATAGCAATTCTTCCATACTTTGGCACCGGAGATTAGGATATGTTTCAAGAAAGTGATTGGAATCCTTAGTAAAGTCTGGTGTTCTTGAACATATAGATTTCTCTGATTTTGGTACATGTGTTGACTGTATCAAGGAAAAGATGGCTAAATTGAGAAAATTTGAAGCCTCCAGGAGTGAAGGTCTCCTTGACCTCATTCATACAGATATTTGTGAACCTTTTCCCACTCCCTCTCATGGTGGTCAGCGATACTTTATCTCTTTCATAGATGATTTTTCGTGCTATGCCTATATTTTTCTTCTTCACCACAAATATGAGGCACTGGATGTTTTCAAGATCTTTCAAGCTGAAGTTGAAAAACAATTAGAAAGAAAGATTAAATCCATGCGTTCTGATCGAGGTGGGGAATTCTATGGTAAAAGCGATCAGGACGGCACAAATCATGGTCCCTTCATTGAGTATTTGAGGTCACAAGGCATTGTTCCTCAGTACACTCTCCCAGGTTCTCCGCAGCAAAATGGAGTAGCTGAAAGAAGAAATCGTACTTATCAAGATGTTGTTCGCAGCATGATGAGTCATTCAGATTTGCCTGGAAGTTTTTGGGGATCAAGATGCTGTTCGCAGCATGATGAGTCATTCAGATTTGCCTGAAAGTTTTTGGGGTGAGGCATTGAAGACAGCTGTATATATCATTAATCGTCTTCCTTGTAAGGCGGTAGCAGAGACCCCTTTCAAGCTTTGGACTGGCAGGGATCCTAGTCTTGGTCATCTACGTGTTTGGGGATGTCCAGCAGAGGCACGACCTTATAATCCAGACATTAAGAAATTAGAAGCCCGAACAGTGTCGTGTCGCTTTGTCGGCTATCCTGCAAGATCTAAGGGCTACAGGTTCTATTGTTCTTCTCGGTCTACCCAGTTCTTCGAGACACAACATGCTGAGTTTCTGGAAGACCCTAATGCTTCTTCAGAACATCGTGGTCTGAGTTTTGAGGAAGTTTTAGAAGATGAGCAGTCGCTTCCGCTATTAGATGTCATCTCTAGATTCCCCATTCTTCCAGATAGCATTCCACCTCCTCCTCCAGTTCAAGAAACCTTTGGCCCATTTTGACCTTGAGCTCCATCAGATGGATGTCAAGACGGCATTCTTGAATGGAGATCTGAATGAGGAAATATTTATGGTGCAGCCTGAAGGGTTTGCAGTTAAGGGAGATCTGGTCTGCAGATTGAAGAAGTCAATATATGGTCTCAAGCAGGCTTCCAGACAGTGGTACTTAAAATTTCATCAAGTGATAACATCAAATGGCTTCCGAGAGAATCCTGTCGATCGCTGCATATACCTTAAAATCAGTGGGAGCCGATTCCTCATTCTAGTATTATATGTAGATGATATATTGCTTGCCAGCAGCGATATTCATCTCCTACATGAGACTAAAGATTTTCTTTCGAGGCATTTTGATATGAAAGACCTCGGAGATGCTCATTATGTTTTGGGCATCAAGATCCATAGAGATCGAACTAAAGGCTTGTTGGGCTTATCTCAAAGGGCTTATATTGAGAAAGTCCTTCAACGATATGGCATGAAGTTTTGTGCACCAGGTGAAGCCCCAGTTGTCAAAGGAGATATGTTCAACAAATCTCAATGCCCACGAAATGAAGTTGAGCGTAGGCTCGTGAACTCTGAGGAGTATGTCTCTGCAGTTGGCAGTCTAATGTATGCAGTGTCATGCATCAGGCCAGACATCAGTTATATCGTGGGAATATTAGGCAGGTTTCAACAAAATCCTGGTGTAGCTCATTGGAAAGCTGTAAAGAAGGTTTTGCGGTATTTGCAGAGGACCAAGGATTTCATGTTGGTCTACAGAAGGTCTAAAAATCTAGAAGTCGTCGGTTATTCAGATTCAGATTTTGTAGGATGTGCTGATAGCAGGAAATCAACATCAGGTTATATATTTCTGCTCGCTGGAGGAGCAGTTTCCTGGAAAAGTGCCAAGCAGTCCTTAGTGACGACATCCACCATGGAGGCAGAGTATGTTGCTGTTTTTGAAGCAACATTGCATGCCTCTTGGCTCAAGAATTTCATCAGTGAACTAAAGGTGGTGGATTCCATTCAGAGACCAGTAAAGTTGTATTGTGACAATCAGGCAGTTGTACAGTTTGTAAAGAACAAGAATTTTTCTAGCAGGAATAAGCACATCGGTGTGAAGTACTTGTTAGTCCTTGATAAGGTCGAACAAGGATTGATTGAGGTTCCTCATCTGCCGACTCAGTTGATGATTGTTGATCCTTTGACCAAGGGAATTTCTCCAAGGCTTTTCAAGGAATATGTATCCAGTATGGGTGTTTTAGAGTCTTTTGATTCTATATGATCAGTGAGATTTAGTTGTCGTGGTAGTTTTGTTTTATTTTCAAGTACTATATTCTGGATTGCTTTGAGCTCATAAAGAAACTATTGTGCTAATTTTTTAGCAGTTTGATATTTTCAAGCATTGTGTTCTTGGTCATTGTTGCTTGATATATATATTTTAAAGTAAAGAAAACTAAAGTTTAAAGTAAAGAGTTTCAAGTTAATCGTAAAGAAACTCGAATTAAAGATAGTGGTCCATAGAGTCATAAAGGTTAAAGTAAAGAGACTCTTAAATTTGTGCAGAAGCTGAATATGATTGGGCATCATATTTGAGGCTTTCGTTCTGGACTAAAGGTGATGGTTTTCACATGGCGGATGCCGGTAAAAGTTTCAGAACGGCATACACGTTTGTGTATGTTGCAGAGGACACTTAAGGGCGTACATCGGATTTGACCATAAGGGATGTACGGCTCTATTACACTCCACTAAAACCACCATAAGGAAAATGTCTTTAGAACATTAGTGGTACTAGCGGTTGGACCGTGGAGTGACCTTGTGCCATATTAGAGCATATAGTGTTTTCACGATCAACCATTAGTGGTACTTTTGTTTTAAGGAAAAGGTTTCAGAAACTATCCTAATTAGAATCATGGCAACAAGTTGTTTTCTAAAATAAATGGGTGCGCACCCGACTTTTGAAAGTTTTGAAAATTTAAATATTTTTGAAAAATTAAAATGAGGTATGTTGTGCCAAGTGGGAGATTGTTGGGTTCGATTAATCCAACGAACCCAAGTGGCCCAACCTACTCGATTTTGGATTTGATTTAAAGTTGCCATCGATTCAAGTTAGGATCAGGATACTAACCACATGGTCTGATTAGACAGTTTCATGCTTATCAAGTTGGGTGGTTATCTTGAATATCTAAAGGATAGGATCAACCGGAGTGTAATCCCACGGTTGTGATTAAACCATGATGGGTAGGGTTAATCATAAATATCTATTTAAAGGGTGGGAGTCCCTCTTCTCAACCGTATGCAGAAAAGAGACCTAATTCCCATCATTGGCTACGGGAAGAGAGAGGAGAAGACTTCCATTATTTTCGTCGGTGAACGGTAATTAATTTATATTTCTAGTTCAATTATTCATGTCTAGATCGTTAAATTATCCAACACAACCAGGTTAGTTAAGTTAGAGGAAACTATATTGCGAAACTGGGGCAAGGTGCCCAGGTAATTTGTTACTAGAAAAATAGATACAGAATATCATGAAGTGGAAGAGAGAGAAGAAATATCGCTTTTTTTTAATTCTTTACAAAAGGATAAGCATAATTACTTACTGGGTTACTGAGCAGTGTCCATGGCATAAATTGAAACTCTACATAACGCTAGTGTGTAAATTGCTGATTTAAAATAATCCAAGCTACTAAAAAGCGTGAACTGTTGAGATTTAAACTCGAACTATGTATTAAGTATTACGTATTAAGTATGAGTTCAAACACAAAGTAACTATATTACAATAAATATATTGTGCGACATATTATCTCAAAGTTCAGACCAAAAGAATGCTTATTGCTGTTGTTATTTTGGGCCATTTTATCCTGTTATGTTTTTGCATCTTAATGCTGATTACTATATGTGAATGTGTGAAGGGAGGGAGGGACATTTAGGGGCTGTTTGGTTCATTTCCATAAAATTATGGAAATGGATTCCCTCACAAAAAACCAAATTCAATTTTTTTTAGGATATCTAAGAAATCCGAAACTTGTGTTTGATTTGGAATGATAAAGCAAAGAATAGAAAAACATATCCAAAACTCATGTTTGTTTCATTTCCAAAGAATAAGAAAAGAATCATCATAGAGAGGAAAAACTGAGCTGGCAAATATGTCAACTTTCTAGCCCATTTCCAACCTAAAAGATAGGATTTGTGCTGTCCAAAAAAGTCACTGTTTTCTCTCTTTTTAAGAAACATTTTCTTAAAATAATTTGAAACAAACCCAACTTTTGGAATCCTATAATGGCCCAAAACCTACTTTCTGTTCCAAAAATGCTGGTTTCCTAAAATTTTGGCCCATACAAACAGCCCCTTATCAGATATGTCACCAATCAGAAACCTGACACAGGATAAAGCTATACTCTATAAATGGGTGGATATTATGCTTTCCACTCTACCAGAGGTCTAAATAGAAAAACATAATCAGTCAGTTGATAATCCGATAGAATTTACTTCAGTCTTTAATCTTTATTGTATACAGTTTACACTTCATATCTGTCAGTGCCACAATTAAGTTATTAAGTTCGGCACATGATGATTTGATGGTTTGAACTGTCATTTGAGTGCTATGTGTTAGATTCAGAAGCTAAACTTTGTGGATTCCTCTTGGTTCTAAACTAAATAGGACTGTATGGTTTTACAACCTTCTCCCATTTAATAAATAGATGAAATCCATTTCTTGAGTTAGCCATTTCACATGCAAGAGTTTATTACTGCATTGAACGTGGAGATCACATCATCTAGGTTGTATTGTTTTTCTTCATAAATGAATTTGATCTATTTATTTTGCCTTTTGAACTAGACACGTGCACACTCTGCTTGGCATTGGTGGCTGGTCGATTGACGAAAGCATGCAGTGCCAGTGCCTAAAATTTTAGTTTTATGCTCATTCCGTATTTAACAAATTTAACAACTTTTTCCAGCTCACTGTCAAAGAAATGTGCACTATTTGGATAATGACGCGAAGTTTAAATTTGTCAGAATGATATTCAACAGTTTCACCTACTTTACCCTTAAAACCTTCTATATTAGACCAGCAGAAACTCTACAAAAATTAGACCATTTGACAGTTGCATGGTGTTTTTTGGACAAATTTATCCTCATTTGAGAAAGAAAACTCTCCCAAATCCCTGTTCTTCTTCCTTCAGATTCCGAAACCTCCTCCCCATTCATTGCTGCAGCGCTCTTCTCCATCACCCAGGCTAATCTTGAAGATTTCCATCATGTAAGGTTCTTTGCTTGGTGGCTGTTTGGTGGAATTGACCCACCTACAACTAACCTCTCACATTAGCCAAGGAAAAAGAATAAAACAATCAACTTTTTAAAATTGTTTGCGGTACCATTTTGGCAAATTTAAGGTTCAGAAGTTTTATCTTAAAACGTGTGCAACTTCGGGCATTTATCTGCAAATAACCCTATAAAAAAAATCTTATATTTGAATCCTCCAGCGTTGTATTCTATACAGTAGAAAGATAGCTTTTTTACAGAGAAACGACATTACCTCTCAGAGTCTTGGTTTAGTCATGTAGCAAATTAGTTACTAATAAAGTCACTTTATTGTAACAGCTTCGTCCTGTGGTCGAAACAGGTTATGAAAATTTGTTACTTATTAGGTTGCTAGTGGAGCTCCAGATACCATCAACTCGGAAATCAATGGTAAAGTATATAATTCCATAAATATTTCCACATATGTCCACTTCTACCTGTTGAGACCTCCCAGAATTGTCACTCTGAAGATTATTCTCATTGTATGTCACTTTTTTATGTGCAAGGTCTCAGTTGGGCTTACTGTTGATGCAATATTGGAGAATTGGTCAGAACTGAAACCTATTATTATGAAAGAATGGGGTGAGCACAGGGATTCTTTGGTAGATCTTTTTGGAAGAGTGAGGGATGAATGGATAGACAAAGATTTTGCTGGTTGGATTGGTGCTAACAGGTATTGGGATCAGTTAATTTTCTCAGATTTGTGTGTATCTGCAAATAGCACTTAAGTTAAGATGGCTTGAAAAGAGATGAATTCTCTAAAACTAGAATTCAACTTGTTAAAAGATAAAAGCATAAAGAAAATATTATCCTGTTTGTCTAGACTTCAAATTTGATGTGACACTATAGTTAGAAATTTTTATCTTTATTCCAACAAAATATACTTAGGCTTTCACAGCTTTTGTACTCAAATACCCAAAAATGACCTTGATTATTTTTTCCAAATGCTAAAGGGTGGATATGGATTGATCCTGGCATCAGTTATCATATTTTGCCTTCTCTTCTAACTCACATCTCATTTCTATCAGCCATTCATACTAATGAAGGCTAACTAAATTTGGACATCAAATACATGTGATGTGAATCATATGATTATAAAATCAAATAATTGTCTTATATATTACTGTTGGGGATTTCAAGCTATTCGATCACCTGTCAAATGTGAACCCTCGTGCATTGCCCTGCCGGATCTTATGTTAAGACAATAAAAAGAAGAAATCATAACAAATTAAAAAATTACAAGAAAAGGAGAACACCGAGTTTTAACGAGGTTTGGTAACTTTCCTACGTCCTTGGGAGCCACACAAATAATTTTCTTTAATATTAAAGAAGATTACAAGCTTGCAAAGAGAGGATCTCAAACTTGAGATCTCTCAAAAGGAAGAAACAGAAACTCTCTGTTCTTCTAAAGAGGCGTGAGATTTTCCAACTGGAAAATATCTTCTCAAAATAGCTACAATAGATCACTATAGGAATCAACGAGATTTTCCTCTTAAATCTCGTTCCTCAAAATCGCTAGAGAAGACGCTCTCAAAAGCCATCGCCAAGCTCTTAAAGAAAAAACCGCCTCTGAGATTCTTCTCACTAATTTCTCGTGCACAATGTTCCCTTTTATAGGGAAACCCTAGCCAGGCTGTCATGAGCTGGATCTCGACCTCGCCTGTGTGAGAGTCCCCCTTGAGCTCAACTAATCCAATCCCAAATCGAGCTCGCCTGCGAACCGCCAGAAGCTCGCTATAGCAAACCGCTTCGACCTCGCCTGCAGAACACTCGCCCTCGTCTGTGTCGACCCGCCAGAAGCTTTCCAGATAGCGCCATCCTCGAGCTCGCGTGACAGCGTTGACTTCGAGTGGACCTCACCTGCAGATTTTCGACCTCGCATGAAGGTCACCCCGCTTGGAGGAGGTCGCCTGCAGCTCGCCCTGCCTGGAGGAGCTCACCTGCAACGCCATGAGCTTGTTCTCTTCTCCTCATGGGTCGACCCGCAAACCTTAACATCAGAGTTGCGTTGCGGATGTTTGGGCTACACCCAATACCAACAATCTCTCACTTGGAGATCAAACCACCATCGACAAGCTCTCTTAACAAGCATCTTCTCATAGTGTGGCTCCGCTCACATCTCCTACACATGAAGGCTAACTGAAGTTACGCACAACTCTTGTTTCTGAATGGTGACTGTTTTCGTTAACATATCTGCAGGATTTTGACTCCCCAAAATCTTCTCCAACTGTAAGTTCCCGTCCTCGATCATCGAGCGTATGAAGTGGTAACATAACTCGATGTACTTTGTTCTGACATGAAATACTGGGTTCTTGATAAGATGTATAACACTCTGGCTATCACAATAAAGAACTTTGTTCTCCCGTTTTAGACCTAACTCTTTCAGGCATTCGGTTAACCAAATCATTTTCTTACTGGCCTCGGTCACTATGACATACTCTGCCTCAGTTGTGGATAACGTCATAATCTTCTGCAAACGTGAGATCCAACTTACTACTATCGACCCTAAGATATAAACATACCCCGTGGTGCTTCGCCTTGTATCACGATCACCAGCGAAATCTGCATCCACATATCCTTGTACCAACTCTTTTCTCTCGAAACACTGGCATATTCTTAGTCCCTCTCAGATATCGTAATATCCACTTCACGGCCTCCTAATGTTGTTTTCATGGGTTGCTTGCAAACTGTTTGGTGGAAAATAATTTGAATTCCCGATTACAAAAAAGAAGAGAATTGATCTGAATTCTTCTATTTATTTCAGTCTGGGTTTCTTCCTGGTGACGATGAGATGCCTCTCTCGAATGCTCACGTCGAGTTTGCTTCTCGTTGATAATCCGAACGTCTTGTTTCACTAGAACGTGATTTTCTCCTCACGGTTTGACGCCGTGGAGAACTTATGTGGCAAGTTTTAAAGAACTCTTGATGAGTTGATAACTCTGAACGAGTTTGAAACTCTATGAAAGAGTTGATTTAACCGAAATCGGTTTGTAAGCCAAGGATGAAGAAAGCTCTTATTTCCGATCTCCAAAGCTCCAGCAATTCCCCAAAAAAGCCAGCCGAAGATCTCTTCTTTTCTGCCAAAACCCCCAGGACTGAAGGATCCGAACTCAGTTGAGTTTACTCCTATTTATAGGGGATTAAGAGGTGTAACCGTCTCCTTAATTTGCTTCTAAGTGGGACTGAATGGGGTGTAACCGACCCCTTAAACTGCTCCCCAAATCCTGGGAAAAACGATTTTGAAATTGTTCAGTTCGTGATTTGAACGAGTCAAAACCGAAATGACGTTCTGGGCCCGAACTCTGCGTTTTAGACCTAAAACGCAGAGTTAGACATTTCCAGTTAGCTCAAAATGCAGTGGCCGCACCGCTTTATGAGTCCGAGACGCAAGAATGAACTCTGCGTTTGGATCTAGAACGCAGAGTTGGGTTCTGCGTTTTGGGCTGAAAACGCAACAACGAAGTCTGCGTTTGGATGTTACAATGCAGGGAGGACCTCTGTGTTTTGGAAGTTGGAACGCAGCTCTTGAGCTATGCGTCTCGTTCTGGAACACATCTACGGGCTCTGCGTTTTGCTTCTGGGAGTTTGGAACGCGGCCACGAGCTATGCATTTTGAATCTGGGATGCAGAGGTGAGTTCTGCGTTTGGATTTGAAGAGACCGTCAATTTGTAATCTCTTTTGCTAGAGCGTTGCAAAGACCGTCATCTTATAATCTTCATCTTGGCTCCTTGAAGATATGAAAGCCGTCAAATTATAACTTTCATCGTCGATGTTTGATGGGGGATCAATTATCTGCAGTGATTTTTAGACAGCGTAACCCCTTCCAAAGTTTTCGAAAGTTCGCGGTTGACTGAGACGAATTTTCGGAATACTTTGGATCTCAACTAGCTGTTGATTGCTTGTCATAAAAGAGTTGGTCTCTGCACTCGTTTCGAAGCATCTTGGTTGAAGGGATTTGTCACGCAGGACCCGTATGAAGGTATGCGTCAAAATCCTATTTCTAGAATGCGGGGTGGACCCCTGTGTTTTGAACTTGAGGTGCGGGTCTCACCCTTGCGTTTTTTTTATTTAGCACCCGGATGTGACCTCGGCGTTGTGGTTTTTGCAACCCGGGTCTGACCTCGATGTTTTGACTTGAGACGCGGATGTGGCTTTCATGTATTTTTGACTAAGTCTTTGAGACTTGTCTTTAGTCATCTGATTCAAGTTTCAGCTCATATCCATTTAAGATGATGGGCCTGCAAACATGCATAAGATTTTTGACAAACCCTCAGCTATCAACGGATTTGATAAACCTTTACCGACTATCGTTTCGGGCTAGCATGTGAATTATTTGAATCCGTTTCACATGCAATGTTGTGCTAAGAGAATGGTCTTAGACTTGATGCTATGATTTTGAATACATAGATTTTGTTATTTTCACGGGAAAAGACTAACCAGCAACGCGTGTTAGGTATAGACTTATCTCTAATTAGGGATCGAGATAAAGCCCCCATACGTGTAAGGCATGGATTCTGATGTTATTAATAACAACCTGCTACGATATTAAATACGTAGGTTTTTCTCCTTTTTACGGTCAAAGACTACCCGACAATGCGTATTAGGCGTTGACTTATTCCTACTTAGGATTCAGGATAAAATTCCTCATACATGTGAGGTATGGATTCAGAGATTATTAATTTAATGATAATCATCAGGCCGCACCACTTTATGAGTCCGAGACGCAAAAATGAACTCTGCGTTTGGATCTAGAACGCAGAGTTGGGTTCTGTGTTTTGGGCTGAAAACGCAGCAATGAAGTCTGTGTTTGGATGTTACAATGCAGGGAGGACCTCTGTGTTTTGGAAGTTGGAACGCAGCTCTTAAGCTATGCGTCTCGTTCTGGAACACATCTACGGGCTCTGTGTTTTGCTTCTGAAGTTTGGAACGCTGCCACGAGCTATGCATTTTGAATCTGGGATGCAGAGGTGAGCTCTGCGTTTGGATTTGAAGAGACTGTCAATTTGTAATCTCTTTTGCTAGAGCGTTGTAAAGATCGTCATCTTATAATCTTCGTCTTGGCTCCTTAAAGACATGAAAGCCGCCAAATTATAACTTTCATTGTCGATGTTTGATAGGGGATCAATTATCTGCAGTGATTTTTAGACAGCGTAACCCCTTCCAAAGTTTTCGAAAGTTCGCGGTTGACTGAGACAAATTTTCGGAATACTTTGGATCTCAACTCTGATCTTGGAGCTGTTGATTGCTTGTCATAAAGGAGTCGGTCTCTGCACTCGTTTGGAAGCATCTTGGTTGAAGGGATTTGTCACGTAGGACCCGTATGAAGGTATGCGTCATAATCCTGTTTTTGGGATGCGGGGTGGACCCCTGTGTTTTGAACTTGAGGTGCGGGTCTCACCCTTGCGTTTTTTTTATTTGGCACCCGGATGTGACCTCGGCGTTGTGGTTTTTGCAACCCGGGTCTGACCTCGGCGTTTTGACTTGAGACGCGGAGGTGGCTTTCATGCATTTTTGACTAAGTCTTTGAGACTTGTCTTTAGCTTATCTGATTCAAGTCTCAACTCATATCCATTAAGATGATGGGCTTGCAAACATGCATAAGATTTTTGACAAACCCTCAGCCATCAACGGATTTGATAAACCTTTACCGACTACCGTTTCGGGCTAGCATG